GATTCTGTCATAAGAAATTCTTGTTAAATGAATTGTTATAAATAAACGTCACATAGAACATGCCAAAGAAAGAAAGAAAGAAAGAAAAAAAAAAGAATTTGTCACTGGAAAAGCTAGCCCATGCTTGAATTCATAAATTTGGATTTCTATATAGAACTCAAATTGTCCTGTCCTCGGACTCAACATCCATTGGTTTTGGTTGTTGAAATTTCTTCTGGTGAGACTTTTTTTATTCCTTTTGTTTTAGGTTCGAGATGATGTTATTTACATTTCTACATTTGTATTTTTAATTTACAAGATTGAAAGAATGTAGCTATCTTTTGAGATTTATAGAAGAAAAGAAAATTAGTAAAACAATAGTGTTTCAACATGGAAATTTATACTTTATAGAACATTAAAACACCAACTGTTTAAGCACCATACTCGTTCCACAGCAAAAGTTGGAAAATATCAAAACCCAAAATACTATTGACCCCGTCAAAGGCTCAGTTTCATCATGCTTGGTTAATCAAATTAAACATCCAAACACGTCCTTTACCCATTATTAGAGTTACAGAGAGTCTGGAATTGGATTGACCTGTCTCTACAGTCAACTTACTACAATGACTCCTCATGGATGATAGATAAGATGACATGCATGAAATTAAATGCATTGCACCAAAACCCTTAAGATATTTTACAAGGAATTGCATAAGCTTGCTGATTGCACCAAGAACCCTTAATTGATACACTAGCTGCACTATCAATTCGTGATATTTATCTGTTAAATTCACCAATCAAAGTAATAAAAGATCTGTTAAATTCAGTTCTCTTCCAATGTCAGAATCCACATCATTACAGTTCTTTGTTTCAAATATCATTTCTGGGAAAACAAAAAAGTTGGGTTCTGCAGGTTATGTGATTTATACATTTATAGCACATTAACAAAATAATTTAGCTATCTCCAATTGACCAGTTGTAATACTTTGAAGAACTCAGGATAATGCCATGCATATTTCAGGCAGAAAAGAGAAAAGAAAAGTAATTAAGCATAAAAAATGTGGACCTAACTTGGCCACTAGAAAGCATTTATCACTAAAGAATCATCAACAAGCACATAATAAAAAAAGTAACTTTTGCCAGTTGTTTGAATTTTGAAGGTCTAATTTTCATGCCCAAATTTCATTTGTTGCTAAAAGAAAATTTGAGATTGATTTCTCTTCCCTGTCATCAGGTCAATAGATAATGAATGTTGAAGTGGATAAGGTTTATTCTAAAATTTGGCCTTTATTTGGTGTGACTTCACATAATTCATCATACATGCATTTCTCTTATTCTCCTTCTTTTTAATTCACTTAATCAATATATACATTCATTGCAACCTTGGCTGCCATGACTTCAGCCCGTCACTTTCTTCTCACTTTATGCCCACTACTTGTTTGTTGTGAAATACTAGCAGGCAGCCGCTGATCAGCTGCAACATTACCCCGCTACTGACAATTTTTGGAGCCACATCAACGTTAGACGAATCGGCGCTGAAATTTCTTTTTGGTTGGTCGATTTTGATGATTTTCAGAAAATCGGCCAAATATCAATTTTTGAAATCAACCTTTTTTTTTTTTGTGATTTCTTGAGTTCTAGTTGATTCAGTTTTTCTGAAGATGACATGGCATTGAATAATAACTATAATACAAACATAATCGGCCCTTGAGAATCATCATCGATGCCAAACATCACCAATAACTTTTAAGGGGTTATTCTATCTTCTTCACCTTGAACTTGAACTACTTTTAGTCTATTCTATTGATTTTATATATATTCATTTAGCAGCTTCTTTAGTGACTCCATCAACTTAAGCAAACCTTTTCTGTACCTCTTCTGCCCAACTTTTAAAATTTACAGTTGAGGAAGGAACATACAGGATCTAAAAACGATTGGCAAATGGAAAAGACAAGAACAAAACAAAGAAGAAAGCTATCCCAATGTGTGGATGGGTCAACATGGTCAGCAGTGTGTTGTAGTTAGTATATTCAAATTTGAAGAAAATAGAGCACTCAAAGCACAAATACAGATTTATGTGATTTGGCTTATAACCTGCACCCATGGACATCTCTCTCTACCTCTATCTTGAGATACAAGATGGCTTGTTGCGGAAGATACACAAAAAGATACTCATGACAACTAAACCCTAATAAGGTTCACTTGTGAGTTGAATTCAAATATTGACAAGGGGAGCGGATTAGCTGGAGACAAAAACATACACACCCAGCTAAACTACCTATCACAGTTGAATACACCGGTATTCAGTGTAACTGGGTCTCAGATGGAGCCCACAGTGAGCACTGGCCGGTTCAACTGTGATAAATATATAGTTCAGCCGGTTCAACAGTGAGCACTGGTGGTTAATAGTGGATTCTCTGCTTCCACTACAGACCACTAAAAAATTTTGCCTTCAAATTTCAAGGCATCAAACCCAGTTTGTTATATATCCAGTTTATGTATGGAAGGACCAAACGCGCTCAGTACCCCCCCAAGGCTTCAGTGGATTTGGCCTTTCTATGTCATCTTTATGAATCCGTCAATTATGCTATTTGCAAACAAGACAAGCTAAGTTCTCAAACAAATAATAGAGATCCCATGCTGCATGATTCCGCATACGTATGATCTCTCCTTTTCATATACAAAACTTTTATGTGTTTCGCCATTACTTTACAGTTAACATGTTGGCGTTTGGTTTAGATATTTAAAAAAAAAGGGAAGAACACGACAAACAAGTTATATTCTTATTCAATTTCTGGAAGTGTGAACCTTTTCCTTTCTTCTGGACTTTTGTTATACTTGTATTAGCGTTCAGACTCATGATCAATGATAATTTCTCAAGTTTTAATCATGAGTTTCGTGTAGAACATGAAAAATAATAAGTGGGTATTCGTTAAATTTGCAATCAACTTGAGAAATTTTCTTTATTCATCTCTAACTTTTCTTCTGAGATCTAAGCTAATTAATAAATGCATGGAATTTAACTATACTACTAAGTTCTTGGTACAAGAGCGGAGATTCTCATACACCACATACAACGGCTGTGTGCTGAAACCCCCGACTCCCAAGTAAACCTTTTTTCTAGGCTATAAGCAACTCAACTACATTTTCTGTTGAAGGCCTGACGTGAATTTTATATAGTTTATATGTGGCTTAGAATAATCTGGATATGGATATAGAAGGATGACGACTAGGGGTTTCTATTTTATTCCTTCATATATTTTATGTTTGATTGTATCTGATCGAGAACATACTACCCCTTTTCATGCTTTCTTTAATCTGCTAACAATAACAATAATGGCCGGGCATCTATAAGATATGGATGAATGAGTGATGACGACTTCACATAATAATATATTGATGGATTTTTCTTTTATAAACTTAATTAGTTGATAGACCGTGTTCTTCTTTCCCATGTATTCTCATTATTAAAAGTGAAGATATTTGGCTCTGAAAACAACATCGTCATCATTCATCAATTACCCAATGAAAACTGAAACTGATGCCAACTGAAACCCTCATCAACTGCCAACAAAATCCACTTGGACCCGTCCACCACCTGCTTGTGTATAAGCATGTATGACTTCAAAGTTCAATCCTCTGAGATTCCAACTTCCAATCATCCAGCAAGTCAAACAATATACATGAAGAGGAAGAGGAAGAAGATGAGTTTTGCACGAATCTTCTCCACTTCACTTGCTCTGACCAACCACCGGTTTCCCTCCTTTTTGAACCACACCCACAGAGGAGAGGAGGAACACTTCAAATATGAATTATATATATAAATTAATTAATTAAAATTCTGTTTGGATAGATTTTTATTAAGTACTTCTATACTTTTGAAAGTATAAAAACAGATATAGTGTTTGTATTATGAACTTTGTACTTTTTGTTTTTACACTTAAAAGTATGAAAAACTTCAAAAACACAAAATCAGCTTTTTATACTTCATGCTTTTGGCAAAATTATGCTTCCGTTTTCGTGTGAACGGGTGGTTATATGCAACCACCCTTTGATAAAACTATCAACTCTACCTCCAATCATGGCTGCTAGAATTGGACTGCCGTCACCGGTCTCAAACCTCAAAACCACCAAAAACCATCACCAAAAGTGCAAACAGATGTACTTTTGCCAAACAAGAAAGGGTACTTTCATTTTGGAAAACATATTTTTCAAATATTTTTACTCAAGTGATTTTAAAATAAAAATACCAAAAAGAAAAAAAAGCATTTTATGTACTTTATACTTTAATATTTTTAAATGTATAAAATTATAAGTCTATCCAAACATCACGCGTAAATTATAGCAAGGGATAAGATGGATGGAGTTCCCACGTAATCTAGCTAAAGGTGGACATAAAGAGTGGGTGCCCTACTACCCTTCTTTTAGTTATAGACCAGTGATGGTCTTAATTAATTCTAATTTATTGCATCATTCCTTAAACTAGAATTGTTTTGAGAAATTTATGATTTATTTTCCTCACAAGATTTTATTGGTTTTATGTACCGAATCCCTTGTGCTACTGTTGAGGTGGAGGATATTCTTTTATTAGCATCTGCGAGAAGAAGCCAAAGAAAGAATGTATCCAACGGAGGCTGCCAAAGGGAGAGGGACCCCACACACATGTAGCAAGGTCATCAGATAAGTGGGCCACCACCTAAGCCCATGTGTGGTGGCCGGTTTCAGTTCATCTAGCATTTTTAATTAGTAAATTCTATGGACGTCAGTCAGGGACTTGAGCTTTGTGCTTGGGGTTATAATTAGCATAATCATCTAATTAATATTTTCTTACCTCTTTAGACGTCATTGGAAATGGATAACTAATTGGTCAAGGGCCTCAAGGCCCATAGATAATAGGATGTAATCTATCCTATGGATGATAATTAGTTATATATATATATATGTTGGGTCCTCACTGTTGTATAACCAGATTGGTGGAATTACTTCCGAAGCTGAACCATCATCCATTTCATAAAAGTAAATACTGAACAAACAACGTCTGATATCTTTCTTGCTCATGTAACTTGGGTTCGAGAGTCAGCACGAATTATACTAAATGTATGGCAATTAAACAACATTTCATCACATGTCTGTAACATAGTTCTGCTTTTGCACCTCCGAGTAGGAAACAAAGAAGTAATTTATAGGAAAATTTTTGTACAATTGTTCAACAAAAGAGGCTGGTTTTAACCAAGCCAGATATCACTGAAAATCGAATAGTGGGTTGATGAATATTGGCTGGTTTAAGACAGTATTCTGGTTCACTTGAAACTTGCTGGTTGGATCTGGGAACTGGAAATCCATATCGCCGGAATGAAGTATGCCAACGTCGTGACTGTTGCTTTCATCGGTTGTCCGGAACTCGATTGGTGGTGAATTCAGTGCTGAATTGTCATTTAAAAGGTGAGAAATGGATAGGTACTCCACCTCCAGCAGATGGGCTAGAGAACACGTCCTTGGAAATATCAAAGGTTGTTGTTGTTCACTAGCATCTAAGCTGGTTTCTGCCGTCTCTTGAAAAGATGGTTCCTCTTTCTGCTGCTCCACGGCTCTTCCCAAATGCTTCTTCTTATAAATCCTGCAGAGCACCCAGTCGTCCAACTGGGAGTTGCATGAAAACAGAGTTACTCATCAAGCAATTAAAATTGTGATCAAACCAAACACCTAAAGGGAAGTAAAACCCTGCATGAATATTGAAAGCTCTGGCCGGGGTATTATTCTATTAATTATAAGCCTTGTCATAGAGATGGAACAGAACTTACTTTCATGGATCCATTCAGTTTGTTGGGGCGTCTGCTTGAACCATCCAACCGATACTCATGCATGATCCAATCTGTCTTGACACCCTTGGGCGGCCGTCCCTTATAAAACACAAGAGCTTTCTTCACCCCGACGTACGTAGACCCACTGTGGATTGCCTTGTCCGTGCCGGTGGCCTTCCAATAACCCGAACTGGTTGCTCGATTCGGCCGCACCCCATTTGGGTATTTCCGCTCCCGTGGGCTGAAGAAATACCATTCTGTCTCACCAAATTCTGCTTTTTCTACAAACCACAACCAATTGGACGATTAACTTAGAAACAAACAAACAAACTATCAATCTATGACTTATTAGTAATCAAAACACTGAGCTTTGCTTTGTAATAAACCCAAAACTAACCAGGTAGTTCCCACGGATCGAATTTATAGATATCGACTTCCGGGATTATGGACACCGGACACGGCATCGATCTCGCTTGATTCCGAAGGTAATACATGATCAATTCCTCGTCAGTTGGATGAAACCTAAACCCAGGAGGGAGAGCACACTTCTTTGTCCCCTCCATTGATGAAGGATGATGATGCCTACTGCGTTTATCACCTGAAACAAAGAAACAAAACAACCAAAACTGCAGCTTTGAAGGGAATGAAAAAGGAAGTTGGCTTCTGAAATGTTCCAAGGAGTAGAACCAGTAACCTTCTTATATCGGCTTTCTGTTTTTTTTGTCGTTTGGCGCAGGTGGGTTGTATTGTTGAACTTTGACTCGTACTCATACAACCTCGGATAGGCCCCATCGCGAGCACAACTGATGGGGGCACGCTTCGAGCAGAGATAGCTCCTACGGTTGCCGTCGACGGTGACACGTGTCTTTTCATTAAAAGGAGAGAGACTACTACTAGATAAGCATAGACTACTTGGACCCTTATTGGTGCACATCAGCCCATTGATTATAACCTTTTTTATCATGTTCCGTGGACACGTAGTAAAATTTCAGCCGAATTAGGACCAAGGTGTCACGTGCCATGAGTGGATTGGATTAGACCTAATCAATGATGTTTGGGTGTGAGTTAGGTTGATAACAAAGCAATTAACGGGATAATTAATTTGATAATACCCATAAAAAGAAAAAGTAAAGAGGTTTTAACTGTTCAATCTATCATTAGAAATCTTAATTTCACCCTAAAGATAGAATGAATCCTCACCGTGAATTAATGTCAATCCACGGACAGGATGCTTATTATAAAGGGATTAGGACGTGGTTGTAATTTCAAATTTCTGAGGGGAGTAAAAAGATTAAAAGAATATCCGACGTAACTTAGGCATCTCGCATCTGTGCACGGGCTCCACGCACCTACTTATTTTAATTGATAGATGCGAAGTAAGAACACAAGTACAGCAGACCGGATAATTCCGTATACAATCGCAATGCTAGTCGGAGGTGATCATTATCATTCATGATTCATTCCATCCATCCATCCATCAACCATCAGTTCCGAGAAGAAGAAACTTCGAAGTTCAACCAAACCAACCATGTTGGTGGGGCCCATTTTAAAAATGGGTTGGCCCAAACCCAATCATCTTTTGTATTACAGTGACTTCAACTTCAACGGCTTTAGAGTTTAGAATGTGGTGTCCACCTGATCCTATCAAAGTTTTTGGGGGTATAACATCAGATGGCCCATTTCCAAACTGTAGATGATAAAACGGTGGCCCAATTCCATAAATTAGATGTAGAATGAACCCAGCTTCGGACCAAACTGAGTTCTATAAGGCCGCCGCTGATATATGCTTTAAGTGTCACGTCCAGTTGCTTGACTCGAGCCCTAGGCCATGTAAATCAAATCAGATATCCCATAATATATTTGAATTTCAATTCAAATCATAAACTTGGAATCCGAAAGACTCTTATCAATTGGATTCCTTATCGAATCAGATCAGATATACCCTTTACTGAATCTGATTCAATCCATTTGCAGTCCTATTGCCACATACCAACTATCACCTAGGGGTGACCAAATTGTGGGCCTATTTTTTAAACCGAACTGGTATTACCTGTAATCAAAGCTGATCGGTTAATCGATTGATTGGTTCGTTGATTTTTTTTGTTTTCTTTATATTAATAGTATATATTATAAAAAATATATAAATATATAATAAAAACTATAAATATATACTATTATATTTTAAATAATAAATAATATATTATATTTATATATAATGCATATTTATTAATTTATAAGATATAAAAAAATATAATATATGTATATATATATATATAATATAAATAAATATACATAAAATATATATACCAGTCGGTTCAATTAACCGTCAATTTTCTATATTAGTTAATTGACACTGAATCGATACCTTTGTTTTTTTTAAATACCAAATCAAAATCGAATTGACCAATTCCATTAACTAGAACTTTCAATTCGATTTCATCAATTCAATTCAATTTTCCGTTTTTCGGGATTTTTTTCTCACCTCTAATCACCCAACTATCGTGTGACAATGGGTTTTGATCTCAAGTCCCCACCAAGGCACTACAACCAGGCAGAGAGACCTTATCAACTGAGCGAATTGGCACCGTCAATGAATTTAGGAAAGTGATGACGTAACTTTAAAACCCCACAAACAATAATGGCTAATTGGATTATTCCTTCTAAATAGTTGTGGAGGGGATGAGAAGATATTATTTTTTCTTGACAGTTGGTTCCTTTCAAAGAACATGACTTAATATTCTGTCTTAATCAGAAAAAGAAAAAAAAAGAAAAGAAAAGAAGACTCAGAGAGGGGAATGTTTATCTACCAAATATTGTTATAATGGTGGCAGTGAGACGAAAGGCCTGAACTTTGACAAGTCAGAACACCATAACAAGCTAAGATTTACAGCCCCCAGGCAAGACTCGGCCCAGGTTTTGAGCATTACCAAAACCAATGTGTTTGACCATAAATTTGCTATTTTGCTTGCATATATTTGACCATTCCAATAGGAAGTTGGAAATTAAATCAAAGGAATTTCCTTTCTTAACTTTTTAGATTAGGTTTGGTATGCGGCAGAAATGGAGAAGTGGGGTGAGAAAGAATACTAGAATCCACTATTTTATCCTGCTTTTTTTTTTAATCGGTTTAATGGATGAGATACTTCTGCAAGCCTAACCTGAACCTTACGCAGTCCAAATTGAACCTTTACATCATGGGCTTGCATTTTCTGAGCTTGGACTAGGCCTGGCCTTAGCTTGGGTATGAATTGGGGTTGGTTTGAAGCTTCAATTAGACTCTTTATATGGTCCACACTCCACACTAACCCATATTGAACGCAAATCTGTATGACTGTATCAAAGTGTCTTTTTCCCCTTTTCTTAAAAGTTGGGGTTAGCGGCGTTTTTTATTACTACTACTATTATAAATAAAAGGATAAAATATTGAAAACTACCCGATACTTTATCAGGTTAATGATATTTAGGTGCCTGAAGACAAAAGGGTTATCTTGTGTTTTTCAGATTTCTACACTTCCGCTACCACTGTTAATATTTCATCAATTTTGAACTTTTATAAAACCATTTTGTCCTTTCCTTTATTTTTTGTTAGAATCAACAATGATAAATGACTAAATGCAATCTCTCTTTTAATTCTCTTTCTTTTTCTAATAAATAAAAAAAAGACACAAATGCCAATCCAGATTAGTATCCTGTATTTTGAGATTAAATTGACATGTTTTGAAAGTTTAAGTACTGAATTGACAAATTTTAAAATTCGGCAACCAAAGTGACACTAGGCTTAAAGTACACAGTACTAATATGTAATTTTCCTTATTTTCTGCTAGAATCAACATTGGTAAATGCATTATCTCTTTTAACTCTCTTTCATCTTCTAATAAACAAAAAAAAGGAAAAAGAAAGGAAAGAAAAAAAATTGATAAGAAAAATTCAAGACTTAGGTTCAGTTGCAATGCAATTTTATTGGCACTAGTACAAATACAAATGCATAGGAGTGCAAAAGAAAAGAATGCGAATTCTCATTTAATTTTGTTTTGGGCTTTACTTTATTCTGCTTCGAATCTTAATTTGCTTCATTTTTATTACAATCAAGCAAAATAATCTAAAATGAAAAAAAAATATCAGAATTTACACTCAAATCATTTGTACTATCATAGTTTTGCACCAGTGCAAATTTATTTGCATTGCAACCAAACACAACCTTAGGTTTTAGAGATATAATAAAAGGGATAAAATGGTCCAATTAAGTCTAAAACTAGTAGGATGCTTATATTACGATATATATGCTATATAAAATGGATACTTGTTTTGGTTTTGGTGCATGTTATAAAAGTTAAATATGATATATATTGTTAAACTTGTAAATTTTCCATTTACTTGCATACATGCATACCACGTATCCTACATTTTTTTTACCTTATCTTATTGCCTAATATATATATATATATATATATATATATATATATTTTGAAACAGCCCTTAGGCTAAATTCATTACACTAAATCTTCTTCTAGTATAAGAGTAAGAAAGTCAAGAGGTAAGGACCATGTAGTGATCCTACTCACCTGACAAGCAAATTTTGCAATTACATGGGCAGCCCTATTACTTGTAGGAGGGATAAAGGAGATTAAAACATATTGAAAGTCTTGCAAAAGATTCCTACAATCAGCGATAACTATGTGAAGTTGCCAAGGGGAGAGGTGTCCAATAGGATATCCACCATCTTTTTCGCATCTCATTCAATGTGAATATGAGAGGGAGGTGGAGTTCCTTTGTCACTTGGAGTCCAGCCCTGAAAGCTTGCGCCTTAGTAATGTCAAGATATGTCATTTCCATGCAAATGGCTCTACTAAACACAAAGCTTCTAGTGTGATCTCTCAAGATAATGCCAAGCCCAGAAAAAGAATCTGTATTTGCATTATCTACGATGGTTGCTGATCATTTGGTTGTTTTGAGAGGCGAGAATGCTCCCCATCCTTTTTAGTGAAGCCAGCAGCTCCTCAATCTGTGCATGGGCCAATTAAATAGTTTCAACTGGGTTGAAAACTTTATTTTCTATTGTCTTCTTGCATCTATTCTTCCAACAGTGCCAGAGGATTATAGCAAGCTTATTGAAAAGACCAAGATCATCCATTGGTTTATCTCTAATCTATTCCCACCAAAAGGATATCCAATCGAGAAGAGACCAATACGGTTTTTCCTCCGTGCGCATGGCTAAGCAAGACCCAAACCAAGAGATTTTGGCTAAGGAGGCTTTTAAAGGTAGAATGCCTTTAAGATAACGCCACATGAAAACTTGGACTTGTGGAGTGATTTCTCTAAGGTTCCAAAAGTCTTTCCAAGAGATGCTGTTATAAGGTATATGACTTGAGGAAGTTTAAGCTACTTCATCGTTAAGAGGCTTATAAGCAGATGCACAAGTGAAACGGCCTTGTGGCGTAAATTTCCATGTCACCGGTCTTGTAAAAATTGCGCATTAGCAGGAAACTCAATACTAAGAATCTGAGAAGCGGTAGAATAGACGAACTGAGAATTCCAGTTACCATTAACAGAGATAAGTAAGGACACCACCTTATCTGTAAAGCCAGACCTTGGGTTTGGGAATAGAGCATTTGAAATCCAAGGATCTCCATAGATGCTTGTATTCCATAACCTTATCATT